TTAATTCGATGTCCAACTCAATATCAAATTGTAAGTCAAATCAATATTTAATAGAAAGATAGTATAATGTAGATTTTTATTGAATATCTTGACCTTAATTCTTATATTTTGACTTATAACTCAAATAGAGAGTGTTAATATTGTTAAATACACTATAGAACGATCATGGCCGGCGCAGCTTCGAGTTTTTAGGGGAAGCAATAAATTTTAAAATGAAACTATATTCTTCCCCCTCCTCCCCCGCCTTCTCTGACACATATTCACAGTGAACAGTTCTGTATTGTACATTTTCTAATGCGTGATTTATGAGAGACATAATATAATATTGGAGAGTTGAGTACTAATTCGTCTGTCACTGACAATAGATTAAGAGCCTCAGAGTAGTATAACGTGTTTTTAAACAAGATCTACTCAAAATGAATTAGCAACAGTTTAGCTTGTTGCCAACACTTACTGCTCACTGATACTTCGGTTTTTCATGTAATGCTAATGTAACAGTTATCTGACATTTTTATACCCCTTTCGTTTCAGAGAAATTATAGACATAGCAAACAATTAAAAATGTGGTGGTCTTATCATTCAGATTGTTTATGCAGCTGTTAACGTTGACAGTTAGTTTATCTTCTTTATGAGTAGACCCTTTTTCTTAGCAACTAAGGATCGAAGGGCAGTAATAAAAACTTGAGTTAGCCGATGATCAGAAGTTCAGAAAATAGAGAAAAATAATATGCATGCAATGATTCGTCATGTGCAGAATAGAAGTGATCTCGACACATTTTTTGAAATTATCTCTGGAAAATTAGTGCTTTATATGGTATTATAATTAATAGCATTATTCAATTATAAAACTGAATGACATCTTATGAATTTATTTCATTCATAGACGTTTTCTATTTTTACTCTTCAAGTGCTACTAAACATTTTTAAATGAGTATTATTGATAGTAACAAATTCATTTTCGTTCATAAGTTATCTACTATTATTTTATTTATTTTCAAAATATTCTTTTTCTTTCATCTTTTTTCGATATAAAATCTGTTGCAACAGCATCAATATCGATTTGATGGTCTTTTTCTATATTTATTAATGCCAACGATGATAATCGTTCTTGACCAGTTGTATTTTGAAGATACATTTTGATTCTCTTTAATTGTGTCAGTGGTTTTGTTCGATTAATGAATTTTAGACATAGCTTACTTCAAAATGAGATCTCGAAAATAATAGAAATGTATTTATGTTTTACTTGAATGAAGCATGTTGGATGTATACAACTGTGAATGCATTCATCAAGATAGTAATAAAAAATTCATAAGATAATGGTGGATAGATCAATCCTCCTATTTTGATCTGAAAATCATCTAGAATCTATGTTGAGTTATGTATTTTTAATCTAGTTTACCAAAGAAGCATGAACAACCTGGGGAAGCAATAAATCTTTATTGCTTTTCCAAATTCTTTGTAGGGGAAGCAATTGCTTCTCCTTGTATTGCTGGTGCGCCGCCCATGAGAACGATTGAATAAGAATCCCTGTTAGTCACGGTATGAGCATTAGATATACTTCAGTGTAGTGATGAACAGAACCAATCGTTTTTTTTTCTAGTCTCGATCCAGACGAGAAAAAAAATTGGTTCTGATTTCACGCTTAGTAATACATGTAATACTAGCGAAGAATATGATATCACTTTCTAGTAGTGTCAATGAACTCGAAACATCTTACATGACCTATAATGTCTTCCCTCTTGGAAATTCATTACTTTTTTTAAAATTCAGTAATACATTGTCTATTCTGCACTTTTATGTGTTCGACAACTCTGTACGGAGCTGTGGGTCCATATTTTTGTGGGCTCGGATCCGTAAAAAGTTTAAAATTTGGATCCGGACCTGGTCGGGTCTAAACCCGACGTTTTTCATCAATGCCTAGCATCCTTTGTGTATATGAACAAGTGAAGGATCAACGTTTCAGCTATTTATTCATTACCCTCAGAAAAAAACTCAATGTACAGTTATATCTTGTTGCTGTATCTCTCATCTAGGAAGCAGCGGGTTTACAAAAACATGCAATCGGGCCCAACAAAAATAAAAGATTGGACCCGAACCCAACAAAAAAAAGAATAAAACTTTGGATCGGGACCCGCAGCTTCCTACAACTGTGTTGTTTACGAAAAAAAAGAATTAATTTTACTATGGAAATTGTAAGAGCAAATATTGAAGTAATTGTTACTGAATAATTTTCTCATAAACTTTTAGAACACATTAGTTGTGAGAATGTAAACATGTGGATGAATTAAGAAAAAAAAAATCAAATAATTGAATTTCGATCTGAAATTCAGTCGATAGATAGGTCTAATGACTATTGAAATATTCTGAAAATTTCACCCGAAAAGAATGTCATTTTGTTGAGATGTTGAATTTCCAAGTAAACACTATTTTTGTGATAAGCAACTATTTGTTGGAAATTCAATAACTCGACGAAGAAACATTCTTTTCAGCTGAAACTTTCAAGATATTCTAAGGATCATTAGATCTATTTATGAGTTGGATTTCAGATCGAAATTCAATTATTCGAATTTCCAATAAATATCTAAAAATAAGTCGAAAATTCAGTAAAACAGTCATAACTTGGCTCTATAGTCGGGATAATTTTCTCGTCAGTATTTTTTTAAAAACAAAATAACAGTATTTTAAATATTTGATAGGGTGCTGTGGCTCTATTATTATCATGGCTTAATTTTCTTGTCTATATTCGATGTATACCAATAATTGGTATATATGTTGTAATGTTAGAAGTTATTTCAAAAAAATTTGTACGTTTTTTACCAGTTCTTCTTGTAATTATATCTGGTTTTGGTTTTACATATTATGCTTTACTTCAAAATCAAGAAGTTTATTCAACACCATTATTATCATTAATTAAAACAAGTTTAATTATGTTTGAAATGAATTTTGATGATAGAATCTATAAAGAATCTGAAGGTGGTATAAATTATTATCCAGTTACATTTGTACTTTTTATTCTTACTGGTTATGTTATGACTGTATTTGTTATTAATTTATTAATTGGTATACATATATTTAATAAATTTTCATTCGATTTTATTTATATATTTATTTATTTTTTGATATTAGGTTTGGCTGTTGGTGAAATTCCAACATTAGTTCAACAAGGTACACTTCTTCAAAGTCGTATTTATTATGATACATTATCAGATTATGAAATACTTCGTTTACAAATACGTTCAGTAATATTATGGATAATATCACATATATGTTGTTGTTGTTCTTCATCATTTAAATATAAAATATATCGTCTTGTTGATCGATCATTTTTACACCAACGTCCTATTTTATTTCAAATACATGATCGAAAAAAACATAGTTTACCAAAACGTATTGGTCATTATATAAAAAAGAATATTTTAAATGAACAAATACAAGAAAGTGTTGATGAAGAAGTTAAAGAACAATATGAAAAAAGAAAAAAAACAAAAATTCAACGAGCTGATGATGATGAAAATCGAGAAAAAAAAAGAATTAGCTGATTTACAAAATAAAAAGAAACTTAGATCATAATTTATAATATTAATATGTCATCTGAAATCTATTTTTGTACTAATCAAAAATTAATTATTCTCGAAGACTATTCATTCATCAACATGTAGAATCAATAAGTTTTTTTTAAAAGTTCTATTGAATAATAAAAATATGATTATGTGAAAGAGTTACAATAAACAATAGTAATTCTCAATAAAACATTGAAATTATATTGTTGTGTAAAATTGATATCAATTGAATAGATTTCAAACAAAACGTAGTAAATAGTGTTATAATATGTTTGATTATATTCTCCTTGATTGGCATTATTCTTGAGCGTTAGAACTGTTAGTTCGAATGTAAACTTGAGATTCTACAGATTTAATATCGATATTAATTGTTATCAATTTTTAGAAACTTATTACTAGAGAAATATGTGTCCTATTTTTCTTCGTATTACAACTTTATTCATGACTTGGCGTAGTTGATAGATACTGATAGTTTGAAATTTCTTTTTACAATTCAGACAGTTAAAGAAATTCGTAACTTTTTTTTGAAAATATTTTATGTTTGATTTCGATGAAGGCAAAGAATTTTGGAATAATGATCAAGATGATTAATGATGGTAGTTGAAATTATACATGTCTATTACTTGTCTGATGTCTGAAATGAGGAAAACTATTTCTTTTTTCTCGACTCTAAATTCAGTTACATTTGATCTCACGAGGAAAAGTCACCAATCGTTTAATTGCTTTTGCATTGAGACTATATGCATTATGTAGATTCAAATGAGCTATGAATACCCTAACAAGAGTTCGCATCCTTGGCTTATTGCTTTGGAGCTACTGCACTTTTACGGTATTTTTTTAAATAAATGCCGTGGTAATAGAAAAATTGATTTTTCGAATTTCGACTTAGAACTTTGCAGAAAGACAAGTCTTAACAAGAATAGTTTTTTGTGACTAGATTTGAAACATTCCTTTTATAAAACAAATTACTCTAACTTGACCACTGTTTGAAATTTTTCATTGTCTTTTTGCTATTAACGTTTGCTTTTAATCTAAAGCTTGAATTCTTTTTTTTCACCAGTGTAGTTTATGAACTTCCAATAAACAATCAGTTAATATTTAACATTGTTCAGGATGTATTAACCATTTGCTTCTATGCAATCATTTAAAAAATGTTCGTTTGTTCTTTTATCAATCTTACTAAACTTTAAGAAAGATCATTTGATTTCTAGTCATTTTCTTTACATTTAAATTATTTATACACACTTATTTTCAAAACATTATTCAACATCAAGAATCTATCCATTGATTAAACAAAGATTGTAATGATGAATTAGAATAACTCCTGATCTATTTGTGAGAATTTGTTTTTTTTTAAACGAATAATAACACAATATAATATTTTAGATCACTATTTATTTATGTAATCTACTACATTTTTTAAGATACAAGTCGAGATTCTTAGTCTTTAATCGTCGTTACTGGAGTGTCAGAAAGACTCTCCACTTTGTTTTCTATTATAACATCCGATGGAATTATATCTCCTGCATTTGTAGTAAGTGTTTGTGCACTATAACTTGTATGTAATGTATTGTATCCTTCTGGTGTTGGTAATTCAATATCATTACCAACCTTAAATAAACAGAAAGAAAAAAACTTATTTAAATTTATGTATTTTTTTTTTCTTCAGTAAGACACAAACCTTTTTTTCAAGATAGACATCCTGTTTAACACCACATCGAAGCCAATCACGTATACGTTTAGGTAGACAACAGCAACATACATCACTAATAGGTATGATTAATTTTGGATCGACTTCATCTGGTTTTAGTGGACGAGTTAAATAAGTTACAATAAGTCCAACAATGATAACAGTAGCAACAGCTATTGGTGTATACCACATATAACTAATAGAATAGAAATTAAGCAATGGATTAGGTCTAAAAGAAAACAAAAAGATCAAAATTTGATTGAAAATTTTAATATTTCTATTTTTTTTTTCAAAAAATCTGACTTTATTGGCGTTGTTAATGGTATTGTAATGTTTACTGGAATTGAACAATTAGCAATTGATAATGGTAAACGTTCACTTTTCATTTGTTTTTTTGTTATTTGTGCTCCCAAAAAAATCCATAATTGTAAAAAAAGACTTGCTAAAAAACCAATAAAACCACCACGACTATTTGCCTGTGGAAAAAAGAAACCAAGAAAAAAAACGCCCATTATTGGACCAGATAAAACACCAAATAATGATAATGCTGCATTAAGTATTGATCCAAGAAAACTAACAATATATGTTAATAAAATAACTACAACTCCTAATACAATTGAAAAAAGTTTTGATGCTAAACCTTGTCGTT